TTGCATAATGCAAACTGTTGATTTTCAAAATAAAAAAAACGTTCATGCCCCGCATTCCAATGCTGGAGCAGAAAAGCTTGAAATACCTACCAAAACACTTGAATAAAGACATACTGTCAGTATGGAAATGCTCTGTGCAGGTGTTAATCAAGTTAAATCCCAACAGCCAATCAGCAAGAAATGCTCTGTGCAGGTGGAAATGCTTTGTGCAGGCGTTAATCAAGTTAAATCCCAACAGCCAATCAGCAAGAAGTATAGAGGAAAGCTGCATGCCTATTGGTTGATGCCCTGCATTCCATTGTGATGACTCATGCCCAGACGTGGTAAACATGGCACACTAACGCAGTAATACATTTGCTATAACACAGCCAAAAAACTCAAATAAAACCATTCTAAAAGCCTGTATCACAAAAATTTAAAAAAAGCCTAGGGGTATTTGCCCACTGTATCTCCATACCAAATTTCAGGACCTTAGGCCCTAAAATGAAGAAGCTGAATCCATTTAAAGATATGGCAGGAGGAGAAACATCAGAAAAAGCAATATGGGTTCACCACCACTTCGTGGTGTGGTGAACCCATAATAAAATTCTATATAAATAAAATCACACAGGATAACTGAAAGCCAGTTGAATATATCGTCACCAGGACTACTTATGTTTTAGGGTACGATGTCCATGTTTTTTTTGCTAATTACATATAACTTGCTTGAGCTTAAAACCTAATTCGGCGCTTTCTTTTTGTAGACTTTTCTTGCATTAGACGAGTACCAGCCGCCAAATCCTGTCATTGATGAATCTAGCAAAGACGTGTGCAAAATGAGTCTTTCTTCAAGTGAGGTGGTGGGCCCGAAGGGAGTCACTGTGGACCTCAACACTGCAACATGGAAGACGGTTAGTCTGTACAATTAAATGTACGGAATAAGGAGGTCAAATCCTTTATATTCAGACAGTACTTTTATCAGGTCAAATATTACATGAATATAACATAGTTTTCCTGCGTAAAAAATCTTAATTTCCTCTATATATGATTAATATACATTGGAAGGCTTGTTATTTTACCTTTTGAGTAGGTACCAAATTTGTCATAATGCTACTAGTATGTTGAACAGTTGCCAACTATATCAACACAAATGATGCAAGTAGCTCTCCACACAATTGTTTTGAACTTTTGGTAGAGAAAATTGTTTACTTGTATCTATATCCATGTTGACAAAGATTGAGAATAAACAATTTTAATGAAAAATACACTATTTTCAGAAAACAACACTGACGAATATCAAGTTCGACGTCAAAGAAGGTGAACTGATTGTTGTCATAGGACCAACGGGCGCTGGAAAGGTGATTTTTGTGTTCGTTGCTTCCGTTTCTGTAACTGTTTGCGTTTTTCAGTTTTAAGTAATTATAGTCCTCAGTATTTATGGCATACCTTTATAGAGTTAATGCAAAAGCGCAGAATTGTGTGATGTTCTTTTTTGGCACAGGGAGGAGTTTGAAACAGTTCATTGTGTATTAGTGAGATGTAGTGAAATTTGCTGTATTTGCTCGCGTGCAAATTTCAGCTTTTGTAGTTTGTGTGTGTTTGTACCTGTGTGTGAGTTATACAATGTGACATTCGGTATGTTTCAGACCGCTTTATTGTGCACGATAATGCGGGAGCTTGTGCGGGTGGAGGGTAAGGTGGACGTGCGAGGAACGCTCGCTTTCACTGCCCAGGAACCGTGGGCCTACCCCGACACCATCAGGAACAACATCGTGGACTTCGGGAAACCATTCGACCAAGACAAGTATGACAGAGCGATCAGCATCAGCGAACTGGAAAAGGTATGTAATAATGTATCTAGAACCGTGGTTTATATAAAACTATATTTTCAGACACAGTAAGTCCAGATAGTCCAGACATGTAGCTCACACACGCCACAATTCCAATCATGTAAATTTCTTTTGTACCTTACATCAAGTTTCACGTTTATTTATTTCACCAGGGAATACCTCAGATCCATTGATCTGCTTTTCAGGTATCCTTGGGCACACATTAAAACATAAAATTTCATAAAAATACAAACTGAACCCAACAATATACAAAAACATTACAAACATGTACATATACAACACAGTCACATTATATTATAGTCCAAATTCAGTCCTCTCCACTAGTCTAAAATCCGTTTTTCTATTGTTCTTTAGTTCGTTTTCGTTCGTTTTTGAACATGAAAACGTATCTATATACTATAAGGCATTGTACAGTATGATTTTATGAAATGTAGGTATCATTGCATGGTTTGTCTAGTAGATATTTGGACTTACAGCATTTTCTTATTTTGCAAATACTCGTATACCAGTAAAAACAAAACATATAAATGCAAGGAAGAAATTCAATGCTGTACTATATAAATTGATAAATAGGTATACATAGGTATGTAGGTAGGTAGGCATCCTTCCATCTCGAAAGATAATGGCAGGCCCTTACGTCTGGTGTTGTGGCCGTGTGCAGCGTCTAGTGGGGCTAGTCTTCACATGGCAGTCCCGGCCGCAGTTAGAAAAAAAACGTTATTTGCTTTTCTCTGCTTGTTCCAGGATATACAGGGCATGCCGTTCGGAGATAAGACGTTTGTCGGGGATAGGGGAGTCACCCTGAGTGGGGGTCAGAAGGCGCGCCTCGGCCTGGCAAGGTAAAATATCCCATTCAAGGCCCTCAAGTTCCTAAACCTAGATCAAACAGACTCCATAACTGTTTCCTATACTGCACAATACGTCTGTACAAATGTAGGCTTGGTGTTTTTGTGTTTTATGTTTTATGTGTACATTCGTATATGCATATTGCACTTTCTCTATGTTTCATTAATTAATTATTGTAATGTCGACGCAATTAAGAAGCACCTATGTAAACACCTATGTACTTCTGCTTTGTTGATTGATATCAATAAAAATTAAATGAAAAATAGATAAGTAAAATGAAAGATGTTTCGTGTAACATTCATCATCCATAATGATTATAGACAGTACCTTTACATTTGCTGCTAAAGGGGAGTGGGTCCAACCTGAAACGTATTACCGTTTTGCAAAATATATCCAGTTATTTGACTAACCTTTATCTAGTAGATCCTTCATAAAATACTTGTCAGATTTTTAGTTGGCTTCATATTGATTAAACACGGTGAACGTTACAGAGGTAAATTTTGCACGATCAAAGTTAATCATTATGAACCTAGGGTTATTCGAATTGACATACATAACAATCTACAAATATTGATGAATATTTGTTTTTCAGGGCTGTGTATGCTGACGCTGACATCTACTTGCTAGACGATCCTCTTAGCGCGGTAGACGCGGCGGTTGGGAAAAAACTCTTCGACAAGTAAATTATCTTGTTCTTTATTTTTTGTTCCTCTTTTGAATCATTCTTTATTCATGAGAAGCTCAAATCGGGCTGTCGCTTTTCGTTGAGGACATGAGGGAAGAGGTAATGGTCAGACAAAATATGAGTAGTTATTTAATAAGTTCTTTTATTAACAACCATTTGTTTTAAATTGACCGATGTTTCCAGTAAACTAGCCATTCAGCCCTCATGAAGATAACAGACGGTCATCGAAACGTCGGCTCATGCTCCAGCTACATGTAGCTGTTGGACGATTAATGAATGAAAGACCTTTATTGTACATTTTTGCTCATTGCAAACAAAGTACAGGTCAGGGCAAATAGCGACGGTAAATATATCTATAGTAAAACTACATATATACAGGTTCTGCTTCTTCTCGCTTTTTAAGACAGTTGTAAATGTAGAAAAATATGGAGCTTATAGTACGAGGATTATCGAGTTTCATGAGGAATGTAAATTTCTATCTAAAAATCTAAAACTAGAGAAATAATGTTGTATACAATTGAAGGGAATCTTTCTCTCATTATCAATACAATCGGTCTTGTGGTCCTGTTCCAATTATCAAATGGTTGCGAATAAAGGAAGTTTTCTATTCAATCATTTACCGACCTGATGAAATTATTTACGGATGGCAGGCAAAATATGATTCACATTTTTTTCGTTTTAATTGTAACTTGCCTTCTTGTATTAGTTTGCAACTAACTGTAATTACGATCTATCTTCGCACCAGGTGCATACTGGGAGCTCTGGGAAGTAAAGTCCGGATTTTGGTGACACATCAGCTCCAGTTCCTAAACAAAGCAGACAAGATTCTGGTTCTTGATAAAGTAAACACAATTTTCTTAAAATCAAGATCGTGTAGGTTGATTAAGGTTCGATATTTAGGTTCATTGAACATTATGTCAAAGTAGAGGCTCGGCTCTATTGCTACTAACGAAACATTGACCGACAAAAAGCCTTTTGTTACCTTTTATGGTACTCTCATCGTCGTTTTTTTTTTTCAGGGCAACCAGGTTGCTTTTGGAGCTCACGTAGAAGTCGTGGCGTCTGGAGCTGACTTCGCGGAACTCTTAGCAGGCGACAGCGACCATTCAGGGACCACAGAGGACAAGAAAGGATTGACAGAGAGCTTTTACGGCAGCAGGACCAGTGTAGCAGAAGACACGCTTTCGGAGGAGGAGGTAAGACAATTCAAGTTACAAGTTACTTGAAGGCTAACATCACTCTGCATATATTATGTTGATATATAAGTCACTTGCATAATTACTGAGGACATGCTGAAATGAAATGTCTCAAAAGATAGGAATTTCACACGCAAAATATTGTAATCTAAGTTTAGAAAAACATAAGTTAAACTTAATTATGTTAATAACGATCTTATTTCCATAATCAATCATACAAATCCCCCAAAAAATTTTGATAAATTCGTCACATTCATGGAAGAATGAAGTCTCCGACCTCTTTTAATTATTTATTAATTTTTTATCCTGACAGCTATCGGAAGGCTTTGTGAACTTTAATTTTGTTTGACCCAGCAGCGCAGTTGGTACGTTAGGCTAGCCTCTACCAGGCTAAGAGAAGAAGCTGGAAACATTAAAACTTGGCCAAATAGAGAGATAACAGGCCAGAGGAGTCGGTCCACTAGAGAATGCAGCAAACTTTTCTCTCAATTTGAGGCATTTTTACTTTAAATTTGGCAATAATTTCAGCAACTTGAATTCAATGAGTTTCAGCTATTTGAATTTTTTTTTTCATTTTGAATCGTTCACAGTATACCGATTTTGTGGAGGAAGAGAGAGTCGAAGGAAGCGTGAGTTGGCGGGTGTACGTCAAATATCTGACATCAGGACCTCCACGCTGGTATCTGTTTATGATGGTGTTTGTTATTCTCGCTTTTGAGGTAAGATTTTCCAGTTAAAAAAGACTGTCTATATTGTGGAAGCGAAACTAAGTTAAAAAGGAAAATGCTGTACAGTCGGTATACGCTAATACAATAATAACTTTATTGCGCAACAATTGTACAGTGTACAATGCTGGGAAGGAATCTGATAGTCTAGTGTATAGTTCATTGCGTACATTAATATATTTAGGACTCACAATCAAAAAGTGATATTCGTCCTCAATAAGCTCTGGACAAAATGGACAAACCCTCTGGTCATTGGGAATTTTATGGAATCTTCCGGTTTCTATACTAAGTTTGTGACAGCCAATTCTGAGTTTTGTGATTGCGCTACGCACGTCAAGTCTTTTTATGTTTGAAAGGTAGCTTTCTTGTTTATAGTGTTTGTTCAGAGTAGAAAGAAAGGAAAGTTTGGAATTGTTTTGAATATTGCAATGCCAATTTTGTATGTAAATATATGCAAACTGCCCCGCCCACTATAACTGGACTGACTGTTCGAAACACACAGCCAAGGCAGCTCAAATAGCCTGTGATAAGATATGTCTAAAACTTTTTTTTTATGTAATTGAAAACTTTCTATAAATATAACTAAATCTATGATGATCTATGATGATACATATATATATTATACATGTACATGAACACGTCAGGGACAGTTGGTTCAGATGTAAGGGTCGCCCAGGCGCGTTTTCATCCCATGAACAGTCGTTGCAATTTGAAACGGTCGTTGTTATATGGCTGACTGTTCGATGCCATATCCCAGCGTAATATTACTCCTTTGAGGGGCAAAATCATTCACAACATATAAAAAACTAACATTTCGATCTTCTGTATTCATTTATAACATCTCAATAGCTAAACAATGTTCTCTTCTCACCTAGACGATACACATGTTTTGTGATGTAATTTTTATTTATGTCTAGTGGTGACGTGAATATAAGCATGTTGCTTGAGTGCATCACCACTATGTATTGTATTTTTGCATGTTAAAATAAAAAAAAATGTACAGCATCGCGGCAAATATTAAATATGTTACTGAAAAAAGAAAACTACGACTTCCGATATGACCCTGGGTCAAAAATAAAAGCATTATCTTATATCCCTATAGCTAATTCTTACCAGGAAACATCACAGTGTGGACAGACACGTTCTAACATATTAAAAGTTTGTAGTTTAGTGACATCACACCGACCGTTTCAAATGGCATCGCCCGTTCAGACAGAAATAAGCGTCGCCTAGAGAGTCCAAGAGCTTCCGGACTACATCAATCTTCTAGCAGCTGTTCTACTGGTCAGGCCCCTAAGTCAGGATCATAGAGAATAATTGCGTATCTTTTAACCCTGGCAATATGCATGTATCATAAGCATATGCATGTATGCTAACATGGATCAGTTATTCTCCGGTATGCACTGTGATAGAGAATCTTGAGCACTTATTGAACAAATTTCTATAGCGATAAAGGAGCTTATATTGGTACTTATACTGGCAGTAGTTCTCTCACAGAATTAGATGGCCACAAGCTCTAGTGGTTGAGGCCCATTTATCCCCTGACAGAAAGATATTGTGTGACACAGAGTGTACAACATGTCCACACACATATATTTCTTATCGTGAGAAATATATCATATATTCTGCCAGAAATATGCTGAGAGGATACAAAATCTTACGCTTATAATGTTAGCTCAAAAATCAAAAGTATAAAGTGCAATTTTCCAATGTTGTTTCAGGTGTCTTATCTGTTCGAACATTGGTGGGTAGCTCATTGGTAAGTAAATTCAACTATTTCTGTTTCAATCGTCTGTTACATGTCTAGTGATGCATACCTAAACCCAATTTCAGGTTCAGGTCCGGATTCAAGTCCAGAGGTTTAGGTTCAGGTCCGGACTTGTAAGTCCAAACCTAAACCCATGACATATACAAAATTGCATGTTGGCAACCTTGCAATGTTGTCTGGGTGAAACTTTGGCGACATAACATGGAGGCCGGTACTTGACGATGCCCGATGGCAATGTTTTCTTCATTTTGCAGCAAAGATTTTACAATCTACAGAAGGTTTTAGGTGGTTTGGAAAGAAAAGGTGTATGTGAAATGGTCTTTTATGGTAATAAGTCCGGACTCGGTTCTTGACTTTTAGGTTTTTTTGGACTTGAACCTAAACATTTTTTAAGTCCGGATCCAAGTCCAGTGAACCGGTTGATTTAGTAAGAGATAATGGTTATCAAATAATATGTATAATTTCGGCCTAATGTCTTAACAGGTCATCCAAAGTAAAATGCCTGCACATTCTACCTCTCGTGGTACCAGGTACATAATACACTAGTAGATTCTAACTAGACCATATACCCGTATAAAAACGGAAAGAAAAGAAGATAAAAACACGACATCATACCTTCGGCAAATGATGTTAACCCTTCCGGTGGACGAATTTCAAAATAATAAACTAAACAATAAACATTGTCTATTCATTCCACAGGGTGGACAGTATCGCTCACTTGAACAAAACCCTCCCGAGCGGACAACCCCGGCCAGTCCCCGGGGCCATCTCGCTCTATCACCTGAAGGTGTACGCCGGCCTCGAGGGCCTAACGGTTCTTCTATCCATCATGTCTACGGTACTGATCATTTACGCCACCTACCGAGCATCAGTCAATCTTCACAACATGATGTTCAACGCCGTCATGCGGGCACCCATCAGCTTTTTCGACAAGAACCCCGGTGGTAAGTTTGACTTATACCTAAAGTTTGTTTTAAATGTAGAGTTCGGACTTTGTTACGAAAGGAGAACTCGTCAACCTTAGTCAGATGAATGATCCACTGCGCTGAATTTCCGGAAGCGTGATGCAGGGCTCGAAATTAAAGGTGGTCCAATGGCCACTGACCGTCTTAAATTTACGCTGGGACAATTAAAAGACACTACTTGGGACATTTTGTAACAATAGAGAAATAATCAACATCAGAATACCGGCCCTTCTTTGGTTATCAATCACATGTCCCGGCCCAGAATTTATTATCTACACTGCAATTATAGAGCGTCTGTAAGTGAACATCAGCAAAATAAAGTTGACTTCAATACCCCCCCTTCCAAAAAAAAATAACAGGTTTGGACGGTCCATCCTTACTTGGGACAATTGGATTGTTCATTACCAAGGCTATCGCCATACATTGTACTATTATCGTCGTTGCCTTTTCTAATCTGTCAACAATATCGTTGTCTCATGTTAGCGCTTGTCTTTGTGTTCCCTTCCAAGTAAATCCCAGCTTCTATAGGTCTCTCCTAACTGTTTTATTGCATGGCACGTAACAGGGAGGGTTCTAAACAGGTTTGCGGACGACTTGCATAAGGTGGAAGAGAACATTCCAGAGGAACTACTACTCAGCACCGAGGTTCGTATCGTCTATGTGCCGTGTTTCGGGTCCTACAGTGGAAGTACAGTAGCTTATCTCTTCCTTAGCAATTCATAAACATTTAAGATAAAACGTTAAGAAACTAGAATGAATGTCATTCTTCATTCCCAGTGAAA